ACCAATAGAATTACTACATTTTTTTAATGTGTATTTTCATCCGCTCTTATGAGGTATTTAATGTTATGTTAAACAAAGAATTAATATAGTGGCCTAGCTGATTAAAACTCTTTCTTACGTCACCATTAATTCGACGAGATTTTACTTTGTAACCCGTGATCACGTGACATCGTTAATAAACTTAACGTTAACGATCGAAGTGGAATATCCAACACCGCCGCACCAAGAATAGAAATAAGAGAGATGATAATTATTATAGAATTAAAGTATTGAATATAACAAGCATTAGCAGAAGCCCAATAAGATACATGTCAAATCTCCAATTGTGCCGCAACAAGGCCAGAAAGCCTTAATACTTGGTCCAAGTCTTTTCATGTCTTTTTTTTAGCCTTCTATTTCAGAGTTTAGGAGTCTTGAACAATTGGATTTGGTATTTAGATTAGTCTGATTTAGTTGCCACCTATTAGTCACCATTTTCTCACCGCACATACTACTTGTCTAAATCTTCTTTATGATTTAGGTATTTAAGCCCTTAAGAAAACCGCATATTAACATTCATTATGCTGGACGTATAATTTGGTAAGGTGGACAAATGTAGTAATTCGGTAAGACAGTCACCACTATCAAAAATGACCACACATACTACTTATCTAAATCTTCTGAATGATTCAGTCCTACATGATCGACCGATCATTACCATTCATCATGAGAACATGTAAGTCGGTATGTAGGAAAAAGTAGTAATTCGGTAAGATAGGGTGATTTCCTTATTACTGTCGAGAGCACCGTACATACTACTTATCTAAATCTTCTTTATGATTTAGGTATTTAAGCCCTTAAGAAAAACCGCATATTAACATTCATTATGCTGAACGTATAATTTGGTAAGGTGGGCAAATGTAGTAATTCGGTAAGACAGTCACCACCGCTATCAAAAACGACCACACATACTACTTATCTAAACATTCTGAATGATTCAGTCCTCCAAGATCGACCGACCATTACCATTCATCATGAGAACATGTAATTCGGTAAGGCAGGAAAAAGTAGTAATTCGGCAAGATAGGGGGATTTCCTTATTACTGTCGAGAACGACCGTACATACTACTTATCTAAATCTTTTTTATGATTTAGGTTTTTATAATTTAGGTATTTAAGCCCCCAAGAAAAACATTAACATTCATTATACTGAACGTATAATTTGGTAAGGCAGGCAAACGTAGTAATTCGGTAGGACTGTCACCACCACTATCAAAAACGACCACACATACTACTTATCTAAATCTTCAGAATGATTTAGTCCTCCAAGATCGCCAGACTATTACTATTCATCATGAGAACATGTAAGTCGGAATATAGGAAAAAGTAGTAATTCGGTAAGATAGGATGCAGAAATATCCATTTCCTCACTACTGTCGAGATCGATCGCAGATTGTTACCCGTTTAAATTTTATATACCTGGTTTGTGGTATCGAATTAAAGCCCTAAAACATTAGGTGAATGATTCGATCAGCGTAAAAAAACAAATAAATAAAAATAAACTAAAATAAATAAATAAATAAATAAAATAAAAAATAAAACTAAAAATAAAAAAAGTAAAAAAAAAATAAAAAAAAGTCAAAAATAAAAAATAAAAAATAACTAAAAATAACAAGAATGTTGCTAACTTGCCCCCCTGGTTACATAACTCGCATATATGATTAACCAATCAAATCGCAGGATCTTGTGTAACAAAAACGATAGTTAAAAAATTAAGAAAAAACCCAAAATCTTTAAATATTACAAAATTTTACTATGTAAACCTACTTTGGGCTTTTAAGTAAAAGTTTTCAGCTTACAAATTTGCATATATTTATGTACTCTAACCTTAATATAATGCTAAACCTAACCTTTAAATTAAAATTCGGCTTTAAGTTACAAAAGCTTATACATTAACGTGGTTATTTAACCACCAGTTAAAATTAGTTATATTCAAATAACAAATACAGTAAATAAATAAATAAAAATAAAAATAAAAAGAAAAAAGTAAAAAAAAGAAAAAAAAATAATAAATAAAAATAAAAAATAATAATAATAAATAAAAATCAAAATAAAAAATAATAATAATAAATAAAAATAAAATAAAAAAGTAAAAAAAAATAATAATAAAATAATAAATAAAAATAAAAAAGTAAAGAAGGATCGAGGTCTATTAAAGATATGTTACGAAAAGAAAGTGCAAGCAGGTGATTTAGTTGGAGT